GATTTCCAGGAGAATTTATCATCCACTATGACACCTAGAAATTTAATTTCATGTACTCGTTCTATATTAGCTCCCCCAATTTTCAATTGAAGTTCATTATCTAGTCTATGATTCCCAAATACCATAAATTTAGTTTTATCCAAATTCAGAGATAGTATATTACTATCACACCATTTCTTTATCTTCTCAAGTTCCTGTGTAACCCATCCAGATAGTTGCTGTAGGTTTTCACCCGATGCCCATATGGTAGTGTCATCAGCAAATAAAACCACTTTCACTAAATCAGAAACCTTGCATATATCATTAATGTATAGTATAAATAATTTAGGTCCCAAAACAGAACCCTGAGGCACTCCACATACAATATCCAGCTCACTCGATTGGTATTCACCCAACTTCACAAATTGACGCCTCTGTGTCAAATAACTTCTAATCCAGTTCAAAACCATTCCTCTGATGCCATATTTTTCTAACTTATCCATTAATAACTCATGATTGATTGTGTCAAATGCTTTTTTTTAGGTCAATAAATATTCCCATTGTGTATTTCCTCTCATCCATAGCACTTGTTATGTCCTCCATTAGCTCAGTAATGGCCAGGGATGTCGACCTAAAACCATATTGGCAATCAGAGAGGATTTTATGTCTATCAATAAATGTGTCTAATCTGTTATTAAAGAGTTTTTCCAAGATTTTTGAAAACTGTGACAACAGAGAAACCGGTCTATAATTTGTGAAGTTGTGCTTATCTCCAGATTTAGACAGTGGAATAACCTTTGCTATTTTCATATTATTGGGGAACTGGCCAAGTCGAAACGACATGTTAAAAACATGAGATAATGGTTTACATATCCCCTCAATTGCCCATTTAAATGTCCCAGCATGCTCCAGTCCTGCTAACAGTACCTGCCTCGTGCTTAGTGACACAATCCCATACTCTGGTTTGTGGTTGTAAGAAGAGGAGGTTATACATTTGGACTTCCTTTAGATTAAATATTCATAGATGTCCTACTGTGGTATTAAGTTAGTTGGGGGGGGGGGAACCAAGGCTCATTAATGGATTAATCAGAAGATGCATGGTGATGGATCGTCTCTTTTTCATACATGGTTGCATTTCTGTTTTCACTGAGGCAGCAGCTGAAAGAGCCTTGCTGACAGAATCTTCTCAGTTGCAATTCACTGTGCACAGTGACATTTAATGCACAATATTGTTCACTTTTCATCATTCCTGAAGTCATTCAGAAAATTACAAGCATTATGGCCATATGAATTAAATCAAACTGAGAACCATTAGAGAAGAGAATATTTGGGAAATATGATGAGTGGTGAGCAGGAATAGTTTTCAAATCCTGTTACTGCTGTAAATCTGAGTGACCAGCACATCTACAGTGGAGTCTGACATAAAACAAAATACTATTTATACATATCAATGACTTTTTAAAGAAACCAGTAAATTATATTACCAACAAACATCTAAGAAGCTGGAACAACACAATGTTTGGCCTAAATTAAATCATTGCTAACTTCAACCTTGTGTAAATAGACCAATCTTTTCACCTCTACACATGCAGCAGTGAGGTTTGTGTTAACAGAACACAAGGGTTAAATCATACATCAATTATTTTCTGTATGTATGTTACATTTGCTGTCTGTGCTCATTACATGTGGGACCCCCTGTGCTGGTTGTTATCTTTATTCCCATTAACACCAAACACACACAGACACACACACACCTTATGTCTCACTGTTCTGTTCGGGTCATTTATTTTGTAAATAGGCCTGGCATCTAACAGCAGCCTCAAGCAGAGGGGGCAGGTGTGTGTGTGAGAAAGAGAGAGAGAGAGACAGAGATGGGAGCTGGGGACAGGTTGCGTAATTTTAGATTTAGGAGGGGGTGTATATTAGCCAGCTGTCACTCCTTGCCCCTCACCGTGTGTGTGTGTGTGTGTGTGTGTGTGTGTGTGTGTGTGTGTGTGTGTGTGTGTGTGTGTGTGTTTTAAAGGAAGCTTCTCAGATGGGCTTTGGCAGAGAACCCTGGGTGGTTACACTCAAAGACTAATAAATTATGACAAATCCTGTCACCTCCTCTGCCCTTGTTCCCTGTTCTTATTTCAAAGACTGTGGCGTCAGTGCAGTCCGACCAGTGTGATGTCTCATCAGCCAAGACATAACCATGTCTCCTAGATTGCAACAACAAATAGGTTTAGTATGTAACATGGCAGCCAAATTGTTTCCTATCAACATAATTAGAAAACAATGCTAGCCATGTGAGTAACATGGTTCTATGGATGGCTGCTGCTCAGGTAGTCAGTTGTTCCACCATTTTGGTCCAGACTAAAATACCTCAACAGCTCAAATGGATAAATTACTGTTGAATTTTGAACAGCTATTCATGATCCCCAGTCTCTGAATCCTGCTGACCTTGGCAGTCTCCTGACCACCATGAGCTTCACATTTGTGTGTTTGAATAAAATGTCTGAACAACTATTGGGTGGTCTGTCATGAAATCCTGCTCAAACATTTACAAACATTTGTATGTTCCCCTCCTGATTAATTGTAATCACTTTGGTGATAATAGACTTTCATCTAGTATCATCATTTGATTACAATTTTTATTGGTGCAATACTTTGGTTTATGACCATACATATGCAAATTTACATTGATGTCAGTCTCAGCTGTACTTTGTTAACTGCGTTTAGGAAAACATAATAAAACCTGCTCAGCATATTTTCTTTGTCATAGTGAGCATGTTAGCCTCACAGAGTCGCTTGCATGGTTGTAGACTCTTAAGGCATTTTTCAGCATGCATACTTCTCTGTACTTGTGTTCTCATGGACTTGTAAAATGTCATCAGTCACAGCCAAAGTACTGTTACAATTCATAGTCTGCATCCTGCCATGTTCACATCAAAAAACCAAGAGTGTTCTTGCGCCACCTATTTTTATCAAGGATGCTTTGAGAGCTGACTTGTGTGGACTTGGGACAGCTAAGCATCCCAAAATGCACTGCATGCATTTTGTTTGTGCCAGGCTCAAAGCTCAAAGCTAATTTATGTTCCATGACTGTTATTATGCCATTTTATAAAGTTTAGACATTTAGATTGAGAATATATGGTTAGTTTATCAGTTAATGCAGATTTGGAAATCTGATCAGATATTTTTGGAGATGCAGTACCTGCAAGCAGACCAGATAGCTTGATTATTAGCTCTGTTATTATTAGTTTGACAATTTAAGAACACTGCAGTAACAAAAGGTGGCAGCTGTCGTAGCACCACTGGACAAAAGCACAAAACTACTGTGTCTACACTGAAAACATAGCATGTGAAGTTTGTAGCATCTCATGTGTACATCGCGAGAAGCTCGTGCTTGTGTCTTAGGCATGTGTCTGCATAGGAAGCACTTGGTGAAACACACAAAGGAACCTAGAGAAACAATGTGGAAAAGGGAAAAATGGGGTCTAAGTTTCAACAAGTAATAGACAAAGAGAGAATTACTTGCTACAAATGCCTGTATATGTACAGTATATTCAGTCCATTGTAAAACAGCAAATAAGAACTACACAGACTTTAAAAAGAAGAACATGTTCAGTAGGATTGATGTAACAGATGATAGCTCTTGTGTTTTAACTTTTTTGATTGATGTATTTCTGTTTTGGTAGACCCCTGGTTGGAACTAGTGAGCTTTCATTGTTTAGGTGGATTCTCTGGAGCATTTTACTTGGAGAATATAGGCTTCAGGTCATGATTTGGTGCATAAAGCACAATGCCAGTTTACATCCTGGCAGTGTAGACAGATGAATTGAGTAATACAGCAGCTTATCAGTTGCATGATGTTCAAATACAGAACTGCAGTTATAGATAAGTGAGGAATGGAATAGGATCAGCTATATTCTGGCTGATATGATCATGTGAAACATAACGCCTCAGATACCAATACTTAGTATCAGATGGGGACATCTCTAATGTTTACATTAACTGTTCACTAAAATCACACAAAATATTTCCTTAGCCTTTAACTAAAGTGTTTTTTTAAGTGCTTAAGCCTAACCACACTTGAACTCCGGTCTCTGATATTAATGTCCTGCACATCGTCCATCCAGCATCTTATGACTTGTATTCTATTTTGTTCATTAGGAAACAACATTGCCAGGCAATGTGCTGAAATGACATTTCTCTGCAGATGTACCTGGCAAAATACATTAGTAGCATATAAATATAATATCTAAGAGACTGGGATGGTTTAAACTCCATTAAGAGGAAAGGGAACACTGATTTGGTTTTGTAGAATCTGTCTTTCTTTGTCCATGAGAGGGATTTTCCTAAATTTGATTTGTTTCATAAAAGCACTGTATTTCCTTAAATGTGCACTGCCTGATTTCAAAAGCTTTGAAGTGTCACAGTTATTTTTAGAATGACTGTGAGCTTTGGGTGCAGGGTGGATTTTTAAAGGCTTTTACCAGCTTTAAGATTAACCCCTTAGAGGAGCAGGTAATCCCTCTCTTCAAGTAAAAAACAAGAAAATGACCAAACTTGTCCTGAGATTTCATGCTGCAAAAGGGAAAAATCCTGACCCATCTGTCAGCCTTAATGCTCAACACTCCTGCTGTCACGGGTCTGTGTTCGGTCACCAATCAGGGACAAAAGACAAGATGTTTAGTTTAATGGAAATGCAACTGATGTAGCAGAAACACACACAAACACACACAGTCTTTGTAATGTCATTAGCAAAGAAAATGTTTCCTGCTGCTTTGATCTAATCTTGTCTTTATCAGGATGACCTAGCCCCCTCATCTTTAATGCACACTCACACATAACCAAACATACAGTACAACACACACACACACATACATACATATATGTCTCTGTGTGAATAATGGTTTTCCTTTCTTCTGTCTCCCTGTCTTGTGTGACCTTACTTCCTTCCCACTTATCTCTCCTTTGTTCTTGGGGTCAATTTTTCCTGCCCCTCCCCAATCCCCCTCTTGTTCTCCTCTCCGCAGTGGCAGCCAGAGGAGGCATTGTGGGACCGACAGAGAGAGACAGAGATCCTCGTTCAGAGCTTCACTCTGGCCCGTGAAAACAACACACACCCACCAACTTAAAGCACTATTCTGTTTATTTGTCTGCACTCTCCAGAGGATCAGAAAGGTCCCTTGGGTGTGTGTCTGGCTGGGTGAAAGGCTGTGAGAGTGTGTGTTTTTGTGTGGTGTGTGTTGATGAGTGTGTGGGTGTCCTGCATCACTTTTGATGGGACATTGAGAGATGTGTGTGTCACAGTGTCAGTGGATGGGCTATAGAGGGCCTTGCTCCCCTGCCCTCCCCCTGATCTTCTTCCTCCTCCCTCTGTCTTTCCTCTCCTCCACACCTCCGTTTGCTCAGGGAGCCATCCACATCCCCAAAGGCTGTGAGTACTCCTCCACTGTAAACATGTCTCCATGGAAATGTAGAGTTACAATTGGAAGTGATTTTCCCTGTTGTGTATTCTGACTTCAAATATTTTTTGAACAATATATTCAGTATATATTGTCAATATATTGTTTAAAAACTTACTCAATATATAAAACTTATTCAGTATATATTGAATATATATTACTTAACATATGCAATAGGTTTATGTTATGGCTGTCAGTTTGATGGATGGCTCTAAATACTACAATAGCCATGAGCTTGTGATGTCATTGCCAGAAGCTAGTTGGGAAGATATTTTTCATTTATGGATTAACAGGTTAGCCAGATAATTTTGTTAACAGTTTCACATGATCCCGGGTCCACTGGTTTTTTGAAAGGCTTGTGGGACTTATTGTCATGTCAACATGTTCATAATTTTTAATCTGCACAGGAGCATGTTTTTTATTTCAGGTTTATTCAGGGTAAAGAAGATAACATCTCAGATTTAAACAGGGTTGAAGAAGGAAGAAATCCTCTGATGTTAATGTGATTATAATAAGACATGATTTTTTATTTTATTTTAAGAAAACAGAATTTACATTTCACTTTTAATTGATTGCTAAGCCCCAACCCCTTTAGTTATCATACTGTTGCTACATCTGTCAAGCTTTCCCTTGCTTCCCTTGCCCAGGCTTGACAGTTTACAATTATAATAGTGGGAGATTTAGCACTGAAATTATTTTTCTTTTTTAAACAAAGCCTTATGGCTAACTTAGACACCAAGTATAATAAACAACCTGCCTAAATAAGTTTAATCTACAAATCAGAACCGGTGCCTATTTCCAGAACTAACTGAAAAAATAAAAAAAATAAACATGATATAACAAATAGGTTTGTGAGTTCACACAGTAGTAAACAAAAGCAGATATATTTTCTAGCTGGAGACCATCAGTTTTGTGAGCTGAAATTGACTATTGCTAGTAGATTTATTCAGCTGTAGTTAAACAGTAACATTCTAATTTTCCAAAAACTACTGTAACTAATTGAGACTAATAAATGTTTATTTTGAGTTCTGAAGTCGTTCCCACAAATACCAACAAATGGTTTAAAGTGTGACAGTGATTTTCAAAGATCATAAATGCTTTTGCTTTTTTAAGTCAAATAATTCAAAGTCAAATGTAGCAGTCACTGTTTTCTGTTAATTTCAGCATCTTGTTAAAATCAACTTATAGTGCAATTTGAAATTGCTTATGGAATTTAAAGCATGCACATACATTATCATGCTATTTGAAAAAACAAAACAAAACAAAGTAGGCCAAAACCACACAACGTTCACTCTTTCAAGCAAGTGTCAAGTGTCAGCAAAATTATTTTCATACTCTACTTAAATGAAAAATAGGAAATAGTTTCACTTTTATTTTTCTTTTATTCTCAGCTTATTCATTTGTTTGTATCTGTTTGCTATGGTGTTTTGTTAGATCTTGAAAATACAGTTTTAACAAAAACAAATAACATTTAAATACATAAGCACAAACATATACTTTCACATTGTCAAAGAGAGCAGAGAACTAGACAACAGTTGTAGGATTTTATAGAAGAATTATAGGCAAAAGGAAAATCCAGAGAAGAGGAGCTTGTGCCAGCAGCCCTTAGAGGAGAACGCCTGCCCAGGGGTTTGTGAGTCAGGGCAGAAGATAGCAAAAATGGGGCCTAAACACCTCCTGCCTGCGCAGTGCTGGACTGAAGACCCCTGCCCGTTGATTGCCAAGTGGGTTTACAGAGGAGGTGCAGAGGTCAAGAGGAATGCAGGTCTCCGCAGGGGTGGACCCCAGGACCTGCAGGTCAAGCGGCTGCTTACCCGTACAAGACTCTAGTAGGATCCATCTAACCTTTAGCCACCACTGGCCATGGCGAGGGAACAGGACCGGTCTGACCTGGAGCAGTCGAAGAAGGTGATCATAATACCTTGACCTCAGAAGAAGAAAGGACCAACCACATGGAATTGAAAAAGGTTTTGAAGGTGCCAAGGGCAAGGCTATAGCCCAAGGTGACCTGTGGAGTAAAATAGCAGAAGTAAAGGTGGGCATTGACCTTGAAGTGGTGCACTAGAAAATGCATGTGAAGCAGGGGAAGCACTGGAAAGTTAATGCTGAGGTGGACCAATACGTTTAGGCACACAGGTGAGCTCCAGGGAGTGGAGGAACACTCCAAAAGGAAAGGAGGTCCCAAGTGATTGGGAGGGATGAGGACAGGGGTCACACTGGAACACTTGCCACATGTGGAGGGTTGGAACAGCTGCAGCTTTGGATTACAAAGAAATACTGTAAGTACAATAGGTGAGGTGTGGAGAGGTGTGTGCTGCAACAAGAACACGGGAAAAGAGCAGAAATTAGTCTGTCCTGCTGCAAGGTGAGAATCTTAGCTATGCCTGTGTCCAAGGAAGGGTTGCTGAAGGAAGCAAAGAAATGGACAGCAGTGATAGCTGTACACAGTGGTATGAGCCTAATGTATGATTTTACCTGTGTGATGTACTGTTGTATGTATGTGCTGCTGCAGTTAAGAAAAGGGAAAGGTGTGTGAAAAGGGGAAGTCATCCCTACAAAAGAGGAAGTACAGGCAGAGATGTCTGAATGTCTGGAAGAGGAGAAAAAATACATGAAAGAGAAGAACCACTGAGTTTACTGGAAATAGGGAGATTTAAATATAATGGCTTCATGAATAAAGTAAGGATCTGATTAATCAATGTTTGATCAAGTGTTAAGGATAGTAAATAATCAATGTGGAATCATGTTATTTTGTATTCAAAATAATATTGTGATCCTTGTATTAAATCAAATATATCAACAATTTTGTGTAGCTGAATATGGGATTCTTGTTTGGTAGAGTGGATCGTCTCCTAACTGGAAGATTAGCAGTTCGTTTCCCAGCTTGCCCAGTCCACATATCGAAGTGTCCTTGACCATGACACTGAACCCCCAGTTTCTACCGGGGTATGAATGACACTGGTGTGTGAATGTGTGAGTGTTTGGGAATGCGAATGGGTGAATGGTCAAGGAGTGTGAAAGTGCTTTGAATGTGCTGCAGGGCATAAGTGCTGTACAAGTATAAGACCTTTTACCATTTGTATTTTAATTAGATGTTGTGATGAGATTTTTGCATTTTAATCAGATGATACGATGATTCCTGTGTTTGTAATTAAACACGTGTAAGAAAGATAACAGTAGAAAGGACATTTGGTAAAACAGGGAAGTCTGAATGAGAAGAGAAGGCAGCCTAACCCACGGAAACCCTTTAAAATCCACAGCAAAAAGAGGAACTGAGGGAAGTTCAGCAGTTGCTGCCATGGGCTCTGTCTGGTTGTTTTTCTGAGTTTCGGAAGATCAAGAAAGCACAAAGAAACAAGCCAAGAGGGCACACTGACAGCACCCTCTCCCCTGTGGGCCAGGCTGGCCTACAAGGGAGGAAGGGATGGAAGAGAAGATATAGAGCCAATACCAAGAGTGGGAAGTCAACGATGGATGTCTGAACTGTTCAGTATGATTCCACACTTCAACAAGAAATGTATGTGTCCCTAAATAGAGGGAGCCGGTGTTAGAATTATGATTTTCAACAAAATTCAACAACCACCAACTCAAACCAACGAATGACTGGTGATCAGTACAAGATTCTTTTGACTTCTATTCATTAATGTAACAAGTTTAATCAAAGCAAAGAGCTTAAATTGATGACTAAAATAGCTTTTGTTGACTTATAGGCTTGTAAGTGAACTATTATTTTGGGAGGATTTGGGATCTTGTCCTGAATTAATAACATGAAAGAGGGAGGTCTGCAGGGAACTATGTTCGCAGGTTCACTGAGTGAATATTTCCACCCAGAAACCTCAAGCAGTGTTTGAAGCTTTGATAGGTTTCAAATATGCCACCTTAATGACAGGTTAACAAATCATGGCCTTCAAACAACCTGAATACACTTTCACATATCCACAAGCCCCAGTAGTCCTAGATGAGAGGAAAAGGGAAGAGAGTTGGTTCAGTACCCACTACCGACAACCTTCAACAGACAGAGGAAGACATACAGGAGGAGAGAGGGATGGAAATCTTGGACTGTTAATGCTGAAGAGAAAGTGATTAAGAAGGACAGGGGAAGTAGAGAGTCAAGCAGAGAGGAGAGGAGAAAGAAAATGAAGGGAGTGAAGGATAGAGAAGAACTGATGAAACCTCTTGGATGAGAGGTGAAACGTCTTCAACCTAGAAACCTAGTCTAGTTGATTTTTTCTAAGTTTTTTTTTTTTCAAATAGAAAAGAAAACACTCCACTCAAGTGGGAAAAAAGACGATAAAGTAACCCTGGGCACCAGGATGTCTGAGCCAGAAAATCAGCACAGTCATTATAAAGATGAAATGTTTCATAATCATGTAGCTGAATAAATATGCCACTGCTGTTTAAATCTGCAGTCAACATAAGCATCTTCAGTTCATGTTATCTGTGGATGAATCAACAGCATTTTAATCTAAGTCTATCCTCTCTGCTCTCCTTTCACTGCTTTCGTGTGGACAAACAGATAAAGTGCATAACAGTAAGTGATTTTCCTTGTTGTGACAATGAATAGGTGTCTGTGTGCACTCACACACCTCTTTTTACTGTTATGTTTGTCTGTTCTACTTTTTCTTCTCTCTCACTTCATCCCCTTGTTTTTCTTCATGTTATATATCTATTATTTATGCACACATTAGGGTTGGTGGGTGTGGAATTTGGGGGGAGTGGTTGGGCCTGGCCAGGAGGGGCTGATATGTGAGGGTATTGGGGTGGGCATAAAAGGGCATCACAAGAAGATACAACTCTCACTTTCATGAATTAAAAATAAAGATGTCCTCCAAAGAGGGGGTGGTAGATGGGTTAAAAAAAACTAAAACAAAAAGTTGTTTGTGTGAAGGCCACTGGATTGACTCACATCACTTAATTCCTACAAACCTGCCATCAAGATGATGGAGGACATCAGTGCATTTTTTTATATTGTTTCTGTTGTATTACTGAGAGTTTGTCCTTCATTATCCAGCACTGCAATCATGCAGAACAGACAGTGAAAACCCATTCACCAATACTCATGTTAAATGGGCATTTTTGAAGACACAAACTCACAGTAAATCATTCCTCTCCCAAACCTGTCTACCTAGATTGGTACCATGCAAATTAAAAATGGAAAAGAAATGAGACCTTTCTCCTAAATGTCAGCTCATCCAGAACTAAACTGAAAGTCTATTTTAGCTTGGCCCTTGTGCACAACTTGAGAAATATGTTTTCTTGCAATGACTTAGATGAGAAGAAGCCTCTCTTGTCTAAACAGAGAAGCAAATACAAAGTAACTGCCAGCAGCCAGTTAACCTGGTTTAGCATAACTGGAAACAGTTCTGTACAAAGACCCCACCCCCACCTATAAGCACTTCTAAACTTTATTAAATTACCTCTTGTTTAATCAATGCAAATGTAGTTACAAACCCCCCTTATTTAGTTTTAAACATTTAGACAGAGCCTCTGCTCACTATTTAAACTAAACAACCTTAACTGTATCCTGGCTGTAGCTTCATATTTAATGCACTAGTACTGATTTTCTTATCTAACTCTCAGCACAAACACAGGTACTTTCCAAAATGCCACTATTCCTTTAACAGAGTCAGTTATAAGGTTGCCACCTGAAAACAGCAAGATCATAAAAATGTCAGATATCGATAAGTGGAGGACCCAAACGCAGGACACACTGTCATGTTAATTGCTAGTGAGAGGCTTTAATGGCAACAGTACAGGATGATGGTGGAAGTGGTGAAGGCAGGAAACAGGCTATAGGGCCAGTCTCTATATGATCTTCCTCAGGTGGTCTCCTATTCAGACACTGGCCAGGACCAGCCTTGCTTAGCCTCAGCTAACAAACAAGTTTGGGTGCAATCAGAACATAGTATCTATAGCCAAACAACAGGTAGACAACCCGACTTTCCTCTCTCCTCTGTCCAGGGCAACAAAATTGTGCATAAACACCAAAACAGTCACAAGAACAAAAATATACTGAGCTCAGGAAACAGTCTCTGCTTGGGCAGCCTGAGGGCAGATGGATATCCGAAAGCCAAAAACAAATTAAAACTCTAAACCAGGTGAATTATGACAGAGCAGAGTGAGGCAGGTGGCAAGTAAACAGGCAAAAACCAGATCTGCAACAGCTAACAAGTCAGAAAGACTGGACAGGACTGCAACTAGGCTAGTGGCCAGGATGACAGAAAACATTCCTCAGGAAGGGAGGAGTCAGCAAGGCGGAAACAGGTCCAGCATTAACAACAGGTAACAGGAGTTAGGATAGAGGGACCATATTGACAGCAGGCAGGGTGGAGCAGATTCAAGGAGAATAACGAGGCGAATCGTAGGCAGGAACTAGGCAGACGGAGAGTCAGCAGGCAGAAATCTGGTCTGGCATCAGCAACAGGTAACAGTCAGAATGCCCCACAGGACTGCAACTAGGAAGGTGGAAATACAGGCAGGTAACAGGTCAGGAAATAGTGGTGCAGGCAAGATACAGGTCAGGTATTAACAACAGACTATCTGGTTCTGAGTAACGTGTGAAGACTGGTTAAATAGACAGAATAACAAGCCACAGGTGTCTCAAATCAGCCACTGAAGCTGAGGAGAGTGAGACTGTGAAAAACAAGAAGTCTCCTACAAAATAAGAACCCAAACAGGGAACATGACGAAGCCAATTGCACCACTCTGTGAACATGTCTGACTGAAAAATGTTTATCAAAGACTGCTAGCTACTAATTGATAGCTACTAGCTGTGCTAATCAATTAAATATTATATAAATACTGTATATACAGCTGTGGTTCAGTGGGTAGAGCAATCATCTCCCAACCAGAGCGTTGGAGGTTCGAATCTTGGTGCTGTCAAAGTGTCCTTGGGCACACTACTAGTTTTAAACAATTAGATGCAGTAAATGTTACTGATAAGCCTCTTAAAAATAAATGTTTGAAATAGTAACAACACACAGCTAGATTCAACAGGTAAATGTATTGGATAAACAATTGAAATATGTAAAATAGATTGCAGGAAGTCCATTCATCCATTATCTTCCACTTTGTCAAAGTTGCGGTGCTGGGGCAGTTGGTTTAGCAACATTTTCTAGCTCATCCTTGAGGACCCTGGGGTGTTCCCAGGCTGGCTGAAATATACAATCCCTCCACCATGTTCTAGGTCCCAGAACACGTCCCTAGAAAACATCTAATCAGATTCTTGAACCACCTCAACTGGCTCCTTTCAATTCAAAGTAGTAGCAACCCTACTCCAAGCTCTCTCCAGATGTCAGAACTCCATACCCTGTCTCTAAGACCAAACCCAGCCAGCTTACAGAGGAAACTCTTTTCAGCCACTTGCATTCACAATCTAATTTTTTCAGTCACTAGCCAAAGCTAGTGACCATAAGTGAGGGTTGGAACATAGACTGACTGGTAAAATGAAAGCTGTGACTTCCAGCTCAGCTTCCTCTTTACAACAGTATTCCGGTACAATGCCCACTTTACTACTGATGCTGCAACAATCCATCTGTCAATATTACCCTCACTTATGAACAAGACCTCAAGATTATTAAGAAAAATTTTAACATGGCCCATTTGATTCCATGTCTCCAACCTCACCTGGGCTGCTCTTCCGGAGGTGTGAACTTTCCCATTTCACACTAATTATATGTTTGGGTTTGTCATGTTTATCTGGTAGCCTCCCCTGCCATCTAATCCAAATAAACAGCAGCTAGTGGTCAGTTGACAGCTCTGCTCTTTATTTCACCTGAAAATCCAATTACGGCTATGGATACAACCACAAAGTCGATCAGCCTAGGGTGTTCTGGTTTTGGTGATTCATAAGTACACTTAATATACTTGCATACTTACCCTTTGTTCGAACATGGTGTTCATTATGGCCAATCCATGATTAGCACAGATGTCCAATAACAAAACACCACTCAGGTTCAGATCAGGCAAGGCCATTCCTAATCTCCTCTAGGTTTATCCATCATTTCCCATTGTTACCCAACAGAACTATAAAGTTCCCAGGAGGTGCCTTTTGTAGGACCACATCCAGAGTATCCAAGAAGGCCAGATACTCTGAACTGCTGTTTGGTGCATTAGTACAGACAACCGAGCAACTTGTAGTTGTGGCAACCCTCTCATTCTCCAGGGTGAAACAGTGCTGAGCTGGGAACTCGTGAGTATTCCCATTCCCGCCCTCTGCCTCTCACCAGGGTCAACTCTGGAAAAGAATCGACCCAAGCCCCCTCTTCAGGAATTTGATTTTAGATCCAGTGCTGTGCATGGAGGTGAGCCCAACTATATCTAGTTGGTATCTCTCCTCCTCCACGATACAAGGGATCAGCATGCCCAGGTCTCTGACTTTGCCTGCCTCCTGGCTTACACTACACCTGTACCCAGTTCCTATTCCTGCAGGTGGTGGGCCTACAGGGTGCAGGCTCCATGTAATGTTTTGGGCTTTTCTTGGCTGGAAGCCTAGGATCAAGGCCCGGCTACCTGATGCTTGCCCATGAGCGCCCTTCCCAGTGCTAACAAATACAATTTAAAATAGTTGCTGCAAGTATAAATAAAAATAAGATGCATGATTTAGATAGTAAGCTATGTCAGTCAACAATAGAAAGTCACTTTTGGCTTTTCCCGTTTAGGGGTCGCCACAGCAAATTGTCACACTAATGACTTGCATGGGTATACGAGGTAAATGTTTACCCATTTTTTGTTCCCAAAGAGGGGGATGTCAGGACATGCCATCATAAAAATTCAGAGCCCCACAATAGGTAACACAATTTTCCAGAACTATCCTACCCTTAACACAAAGTATCCCTGAACCCTATCCTTACCCAGGCAAAGAGCAGATAGGTGGCTTCACACACAGCATCTGCATTTATTTGCAAAGGTTAAGCGGTGGCTGACCCAACTGGCTTGTAATGGGAGTTACCTCTGAGAGCTGGATCCACTCAACTGTCCAGCCACTGACACTTTTCTACAAAGAAGGTCAAGAAAAAAAAAACAGAATACACTACTAACAGCCCCAACAAGTCAATAATTATTATCACCAACACCAATACAAGTTCTGTGTTGGTATAGGAGTGAAGACAAGTCTACAGAGTCATCAGATGGGCACCTTCTCAATAATTGGTGTTTTGTTAGGGTTGGGCCCATGACACTGAGAAGGCTCAACAGTGTGTTCTAGTGTCCCAGAATAACCCCAATCTTTGCATGCACCCAAATACCCAACACAGCCCTTCATCTACTCAGACTAATTCAGGCTAACTGTTACCAAACAGTGACTAGCACTAGCAAACATTTCAGCTGCTGTTCTAGCAACCACACATTTCAGATGCAATGAATAACTAGCCAAATATCTGCTACCTTTTGTTTGCACAAAATCCAACATGTGTTATTCACTCCAGAGAACCAGTCAAACTTCTAATATTTCCTCATGTTAGCTTGCTCATGCTAACACCAACACGTAGACCTCAAGCCTATTTTTAGCCCATTCACACACCTTTCTTCTGCTCCAGAGCCACTTAGCAGACCTTGCTGCACTGTCAGCTAGGTTCCTAATTGCCTGTCTTAGGCTCTTCCCTTTAATATCTAACTCACCTAGCACAGAGACAGCTGACTTGGCTACATATCCCCTACAACCAACCCTCACTGGGCAGACTTTAACTTTCCACCTAGGCTCCTCTGTCTCCATGGCTAATTCTGTGTAAAAGTAAATAGGCAAATATAGCATTAATGAAATAGATAATGGATAAACTGGGAAGTATTTAGGTAAATATGTAGCTAAATAGCTAAAAGTAACAAATAAATGCAGGGCAAGTCTGGTGCAAACAGCTGTGGGTGGCACAATGGAACGGTGGTTAGTGCTGTTACCTCACAGCAAGAAGGTTCCTAGTTCAAGCCCCAGCTGAGCCAAGGGCTTTCTGTGCAGAGTTTGCATGTTCTCCCCTGTGCTTGTGTGGGTTCTTTCCGGGTACTCTGGCTTCCTCCCACAGTCCAAAGACATGCAGGTGGTGGCTCTAAAGTGGTTGTTTGGCTATATGTCCACTCTGTGATACCCTACCTGTTGCCCATTGTCAGCTGGGTTTGGCTCCCACAACCCTCTTTGGGAATAAGTGGTATAGATAATGGATGAACAAATAAATGCTTTAAACATCAAAACCTTTTGTGGATGTAGTATGAGTGCAATCCAATAAAAGTAGAAATGTGGTTCCTATTGAATAATATTTGTACATTTGTATTTGCTTACCTGTATTTATTGTTGATTATTTTCAATAGATTTGACATTCCTCAGTATTTCATTACTGTGTGTGTCTTCAGTGTCACAGCCTCCAGTGCTGATAGCGATGCCAACATCGTACACAGCCTTTTCTCTAGAGGACATCAATCTGACTTGTGAGGCCTCCGGTAACCCAACACCCATGTATGTACAGCAGCTAGTCCTGTGTGTCATATACCCAACGTGTGTGTGTGTGTGTGTGTGTGTGTGTGTGTGTGTGTGTGTGTGTGCTTGCACTATGGAACAAAGTGGATAAATTTAATAAACAGTCAAGATATATGAACGTGTCAAGCTGTTTGTCCACTTCCTGCTGGCTATTCTGTTGGCATGGTGAAAAATGTTCTTCTAACAAAATCACAGCAATAACAAAATCATATCTCATCCTTTCCGTTTCTCATTCTCTTTCTTTCTCTTCCTCTCCTCCTCCATACTCTCATTCCAAATCCAACAAAAGGCAATCAAGCCCACTGGTTCCTGCTAAAGACATAGAGTAAATGTCTAAAAATGACACAAATAAACAGTTGTTTTTTTAAAGGCACAGTTATTTCTTAAAATATCTGGTCACTGCAGTTTATAACAAATATTTCTATTTTCAGCAACAAATTAATCCACATTTTGTGCTCCAGTGTGTATTTGGTGCAGAAGATATTAAAAACACATCAAAGATCCACAGCACTTGGTAACGTCCCTTTTTTACCATGACCACACACTGTAGATTTTTTTGACTCAATCACACACACAGTCCTGCTAACTCCAAATATTTACTAGAGCACCAAATGTGGTTTAATCTACTCCTGAAAATAGTCTCTCACAAAGCATTTATTCCTGTTCAAGAAATGTTTGCTCAAAACTACATTTACAAATGTTTAAAAAGATTACCAAGCCTTTTAATTAAAAACTGTGTTTTTGTGAGGTGTTTTTAAAGATTTAGGTCTTCAGAAGACAAACACATTGTTGGTTTTGGTCTTTTCATGAGATTTGTTGTCAGTAAGAAAAATATAGATCAGTACCAGACTGATCCCATAAGCGGTTCTTTTTTCTCTTAAGTGCCATAAAATCTACAAATTAAAGCAACAATACATAACCTTTTTACATTATTTTGATATTAGACTGATGTCTAATAAGGTGAATGGTGGCTCCCCTATGGCCACTGCGTGCCCGGACTGCCTATTACTGCACTATGTAACTTTGGATCATTATCCCAGAGACCATGAATGATAGCTGCGTTTTGCTCGACAGCACCAGACCCTTCAGTTAACTCAGTATTCTGTGATTCTTACAAGAATTCACACATACAGAGACAAATCCCTTGGCCTTTATTTTATAGTTTTGATATTTTTTAGGTGAGAAAGTAACAGTTTAGACTGTGACTATGTGGTCAGTCTATCCAAGTACTGCCAGTTTAGAATTTGTTACAATGCTTTCAGAGATTGGAATACTTGTCATCTGACCAAGATACAGTGCCTTGCGAAAGTATTCGGCCCCCTTGAACTTTGCGACCTTTTGCCACATTTCAGGCTTCAAACATAAAGATATAAAACTGTAATTTTTTGTGAAGAATCAACAACAAGTGGGACACAATCATGAAGTGGAACGAAATTTATTGGATATTTCAAACGTTTTTAACAAATAAAAAACTGAAAAATTGGCCGTGCAAAATTATTCAGCCCCCTTAAGTTAATACTTTGTAGCGCCACCTTTTGCTGCGATTACAGCTGTAAGTCACTTGGGGTATGTCTCTATCAGTTTTGCACATCAAGAGACTGAAATTTTTGCCCATTCCGCCTTGCAAAACAGCTCGAGCTCAGTGAGGTTGGATAGAGAGCGTTTGTGAACAGCAGTTTTCAGTTCTTCCCACAGATTCTCGATTGGATTCAGGTCTGGACTTTGACTTGGCCATTCTAACACCTGGATATGTTTATTTGTGAACCATTCCAATGTAGATTTTGCTTTATGTTTTGGATCATTGTCTTGTTGGAAGACAAATCTCCGTCCCAGTCTCAGGTCTTTTGCAGACACCATCAGGTTTCCTTCCAGAATGGTCCTGTATTTGGCTCCATCCATCTTCCCATCAATTTTAACCATCTTCCCTGTCCCTGCTGAAGAAAAGCAGGCCCAAACCAGGATGCTGCCACCACCATGTTTGACAGTGGGGATGGTGTGTTCAGGGTGATGAGCTGTGTTGCTTTTACGCCAAACATAACATTTTGCATTGTTGCCAAAAAGTTCGATTTTGGTTTCATCTGACCAGAGCACCTTCTTCCACATGTTTGGTGCGTCTCCCAGGTGGCTTGTGGCAAACTTTAAACGACACTTTTTATGGATATCTTTAAGAAATGGCTTTCTTCTTGCCACTCTTCCATAAAGGCCAGATTTGTGCAGTATACGACTGATTGTTGTCCTATGGACAGAGTCTCCCACCTCAGCTGTAGATCTCTGCAGTTCATCCAGAGTGATCATGGGCCTCTTGGCTGCATCTCTGATCAGTCTTCTCCTTGTATGAGCTGAAAGTTTAGAGGGACGGCCAGGTCTTGGTAGATTTGCAGTGGTCTGATACTCCTTCCATTTCAATATTATCGCTTGCACAGTGCTCCTTGGGATGTTTAAAGCTTGGGAAATCTTTTTGTATCCAAATCCGGCTTTAAACTTCTCCACAACAGTATCTCGGACCTGCCTGGTGTGTTCCTTGTTCTTCATGATGCTCTCGCCCAATTTTTCAGTTTTTTTATTTGTTAAAAAAGTTTGACATATCCAATAAATTTCGTTCCACTTCATGATTGTGTCCCACTTGTTGTTGATTCTTCACAAAAAATTACAGTTTTATATCTTTATGTTTGAAGCCTGAAATGTGGCAAAAGGTCGCAAAGTTCAAGGGGGCCGAATACTTTCGCAAGGCACTGTAGCTCTATTAGCAGCCAGCTGCATCTTGTTCAGACCACAGTAGTCTGTTGGCTGTTCCAGCTGCACATTATAGCTACAGTATGTTTCCACTTTGTTTTTGGAGCCGTGAGGACCCGCTAGTAGACCAAGCTAACTCTCCTTAGCAGGCAGCTATTTCTCGTTTAGAGCAGAGCCAGCTGGCAAGAGCTACAAATAACCTTGTCAGGGTTACTAATTAGTAATGGCTACTTTCCTGACATTATCTGCTAACACAAAAACAACAACACCACATCATAGTGTACATTTCTGCTAATGTTATTTATGAAATACTTCAACGTAAGCTGTCAGCATGTTGCTGTTATCTTCTGTCATGTAGATTTGTAGTTTTTTTAGATGTAAAAAGTCGTGCTCTTAATTGATTAAAACATTTAATCTCACAATTGTCCATAGTTTATTCATGATTAAATGCAAATTAATCACTTTTTAAAAATCTTTTCTAAACAGTTTTGGAAAATAACTCAGTACATTTACTCAAGTACAATTTTGAGGTATGAGTTTTTTTATTTTCTGTTGCTTCATACTTTACTACAAATATTTGACTTTTTACCCCACTAAATTTATCTTTAATTTTAGTTACTAGTTACTTTTCAGAACTAGATGAATAAAAAAGATACACTATAATTATAAGACCTCACTGATAAATTTACAAGCTACCAAGCAGTAATTCAAATTAAATGCATATAAGTCAGTTAAAACTAGCTCCCCCTTTACCAGCTGCAAAATTAAATGTGATGAGCACAGTAATGCATAAGTAATACAATAATATAATATAATATACAGGAAGGAGAAATGTGTCATTCTGCATAATGAGTACTTTTACTTTTAGTACTTTAAGTATGTTTCGATACTAATACTTTTGTACTTGAAATACAGTGTTTTTATACTGTTGTATTGCTATTTTTTCTTTAGTAAAGGATCTGAGTACTTTTTCCACCACTGGTTCTAAATGTACCTTAAAGGGGCCCCAGGGTAACTGTGATTCCTGGGAGAAGTCCAGTAGTCTCCAGTGAGCATAATCATGTTTGTTTGTCCCAAAACCGCCAAGTTAAAGTATGTATTGTTGCTTTAATTTCTTTGTTTCTTGAAATGAAAACTAATGTACTCTCCCTCCTTTTAAAAAGAACTTAAATTTAGGTCATCACTGTCTTTACATCGCTTTTCTCTAGTTTCCACTGGCAGAAGGATGGTCAGAGGTTTGGACCCGAGCGTAAAGGATCTGGGACACTGCGAGCAGAAAAACACGAGTCCATTAACTCATATGAAGGCAACTTCCGTTGTAATGCTTCCAACACCCTGGGCACCGCCATGACACAAATCATAAAAGTCATCGTGGAGCGTGAGTCATAGATAAATACACAAACACAAACAAAAATGACACCCACAAATACACACAAAGCACTGTATGTCCAACATGGTGTTCAGACATGCTGAACCACACAACCCCCCCCCCCCCCCCCCCGACACACACACACACACACACACACACACACAGAAACACACACACACTTCATTGACTCAGTGAGGTTGACTGGGGCCACCTATTCTGCTCACTCATCCCTTCTCTTGTTGCTGTGGCAACCATTTCCTGGAGACAAAGCCATGACATCACTTAGTCAAAAGGGTGCACAGGATTAACAAGAATGAGGAATTGCTGGGAGGTCAGTGTTTTACTTCCAATAAACACACACTGGTTAGAGCAAAGAACTGATAGCAAAAGGAAGGGACAGTACTATCAGTGAAATGAACTGGACATTGTTGCTCAGGATATCACCTCTCAGATAACGTACTGTATATCTGAATCAGCTTTATTGGCCAGGTGTGTTGGACACACAAGGAATTTGACTCTGGTACAGTGGCACTCAATGTGTACATACATGTCAACAAGCAAGGGAATGTGCATTAGGAAAGGAGACCTGTACATATACAGTATACTATACTATATACCACTATACTGTATATATACACACACACACACACACACACACACACACACACACACACACACACAAATGTACGTATATACATACATATATATATATATGATAATGTGGAAAACAACCCTAGAGGCCAACTTCAAACCAATTGCACAAGTCAACATCAAGTGCGGTATCTACCAAGGAGATGCTCTGTCCCCACTGCTGTTCTGCATAGGCCTGAACCCCCTCAGCCAGATCATCACCAGAGTGTTTACGGATGCCGACTATGGAATGGAGCAACCATCAGCCACCTCCTCTACATGGATGACATCAAGCTGTATGCCAGGAGTGAATGAAACATCGACTCACTGATCCACACCACTAGGATCTACAGCCAGGACATCGGAATGTCATTCGGACTGGATAAGTGTGGTCGAATGGTAACAAGGAGAGGGAAGGTAGTCAGAACTGAGGGGATTATACTACCAGAAGGCAACAAAGCAGATGTTGAGGGCAGCTACAAGTACCTTGGGATCCCGCAGGAAAATGGGAACCATGAAGAAGCCACAAGGAAAGCAGCAACCACCAAGTACCTGCAGAGTATGACACGTCCTGAGAGGTTAGCTGAATGGAAAGGACAAAGTCCGCGCAATTAACACCTACGCCCTGCTGGTCATCAGGTACCCCGCTGGAATAATAAACTGGCCGAAGGAGGAGACAGAGGCCACTGACATCAAAACAAGGAAGCACCTTACAATGCACAGTAGGTTTCACCTCAAGTCCAACATCCTGAGACTGTACACTAAGCGGAAGGAAGGAGGCCAAGGATTAGTGAGCGTCAGAGCCACTATCCAGGATGAAACAACAAAGATCCATGAATACATCAGGAAGATGGCCCCGAGTGATGCCGTGCTTAGTGAATACCTCAGGCAGCAGAAACCAGAGGAACAAGGGAAGGAAGAGCAGGAACCCTCATGGAAGGGCAAACCTCTGCACGGTATGTACCACTGTCAAATAGTAGAAGTGGCTGATATCGAAAAATCCTACCAGTGGCTGGACAAAGCTGGACTGAAAGACAGCACAGAGGCACTAATCCTGGCAGCACAAGAACAAGCTCTAAGTACAAGATCAATAGAGACAGGGGTCTACCATACCAGACAGGACCCCAGGTGCAGGCTGTGCAAAGATGCCCCTGAGACAATCTAGCACATAACAGCAGGGTGCAAGATGCTAGCAGGCAGGGCAAACATGGAACGCCATAACCAAGTGGCTGGCATAGTGTACAGAAACATCTGTGCCAATGAAACTGCTTGAGTTTTACTGTGAACCAGGGCTTGTTGTTGTTGTATGTACAGAAGGACTTGGTGGGCACACACATATCCTCACAAAAGCTGATGTAAGATGTCACAGTGTCATTGAGTTCATCCAGGTCTGTAGCTGCAGCCTCAAATATTCACCCTGTGTCTATAGTAAGGGTTGCTGGGGCCTGAAAGGACTGTGGCTCCTCTGACAAGGTAGTGCCTGCATAGAGCCTGAGAGGAAGCACTACTGTACTTGTCAGCACTATTTCGTGCTTAGGGCTAAAAGAGAACCTTCCTCTTCTCATGAAAAATTATTTAATCTATCCTTTATTTACTCTTTTTAGTAAAAGTGTCAAACATACAAAAGCATTGTGTGATAATCTGTCATTTTTTGAGCTTTAGGTCATGTCTAAGATGATAATTCATCGTTGTAAATTTGTAGATTATTCAGAAAATAACAAAAAGCATGCCGTGGTCTCTTTAACAACAAGAACACACATCTTACTTTAGTTCAGTCTGGAAAATTGAGCAGTGAACACCAGAGTCCACAACTAAGGCCAAAACATTCAAACTATTCAAATCCAATGGAGCTGATGAGGAGCATGATCAAGAGTCTAAAACTATGGTTGACACAAAAGAACCAGTTCGAGCCACACCATCAGGTGGAGTAAAAAGTTCAAACACAGGTAAATCCAAACAAACAGGTGACCCCGGGAAACAGGATAAAGTAGGCATTAAGGTTGCTGAAGACTACAGAGACTAGGACAAGCACAACAGACAAACTAGCAACGATCAAAGCCAGACAGGCTACTATATACTAAAGGGAAACTAATCATGTGAAGTGGATACACCTGTGGTGCGTGTGTGTGTGGCCTCATGTTGTGGGGACAAGAATTTGTTTACACAGTCATACTCAGGAGTCTTGGCATGTTTTTGGGGATAAAAAGCAAGCCCCCAAAACATAAATCATTACATTTTAAATTGATGACTTGGTTTAAGGCTAATCTGAGGTTAGGTTTACATTAAGGTTTACAGTAGGTCGCCAGGAATTGAATGTAATGTCCCATGAAGTGTGTATGTGTGAGTAACTAAGTGAGTGAGTGGCAGAGCAGGAGGACAAACTGGGGGACAACTAGAGACTGGAATGAAATAGTTTCTATAAATGTGTAGAGGAACAGCTCAGGAAAAACATGGGGTGAAGACAGACCAAGACTAGGTTTGTGACTTATCCATTTTAGATGGTGTAATGGAAAAATGACCTTGTGTAACATGAAAGGATTTGCTGGTAATGACATCCCCACAGAGATTTCTCACTCACTCTACAGTTCTGCAATGTGTTTTAGTGTCTTTCAGCTAACTAGTTTGATTTTATGGCCCACAGCTTTTCTATTTTGACTCACTCTCTTCAACCTTGTTTCCAGCAGCAGCAGGCAGCTGTTTCTAGCACAAATGCTCTAATAATCCATGTCTGTTCCCTACCTGCTCAGCGGCAAACAGCAGACAAAGTTTGTGACTAGCTGGTGAATTTTGTGAGCATTTAACAGCTAAACACATACTGTTTTTCCCTCAGGTGTTGGTGGACACTAAAACTGAGCTAGAAACGAATGATTATTGGAGTTGCATTCAGCAGGTGGACACAAAGACTGCTCTAATTGAATGACAGTGTTTCACTGTGTTTGCTGGCTTTATGACTAAGCAACTGTAGCCTAATTTGCTATATCAAAAAATCTGTTAATCCAGGTTTAAGGCAAAGTAACCTTAGGATGATGAGATACAGAACAATCACATAATAATCTAGAATAAGTTTTGTTTTCTACAGGCATTTCTTTACCTATGATTCAGAATAATCTTGACTTGGTTTGTATGTTTTCACTTCATACACGTTGTACATGTTTATTATTATCATATCTTTTGTTAAGTGTATAGTATGAACCCAACCTCTGTGTACAGACAGGAAGCTTGATAGTACCATCCTCTGCTGAAATAAAAAACCGAAGAAAGAAAGGAGCAATGACTCACTTCATGCTTACAACATCTTACTGCATCATCTACTGCTTCCTGAACAAAACCATTACAGATTTTCTGTAAATGCAGCAAATGCAATTAGTTAGTTCACAGCCAACGATAATGCTACCTTCATTTTTTCTTTACTCAAATCAACAGGGACTATGAGACGGAATAAAAGCTGTATGAAGAACATAAAGTCATTAACTAATAATTTGTTGCTTTGCATTTTAGCTCGACCAGTTCCGAAAGAACAAAAAATACATAAGATAGCAGCGTATGAGGGAGACAGTATCATCCTGCCCTGCAACCCTCCAGAAAGCTCAACTCCTCCACACATCTACTGGATGGACAAAAGTGAGTTTGTTTTTCATTTGGCTTCAAGTCTTCTGTCCAATTTTTCATCTGCTAGTTTATTTGATAGTTCTGTAGGATTTGCTTGCATCATTTGAGCTGAGAGGACTGTGGGACTGTGTTGCTTCATTATGGTGCATTGCAGAGCATTTCCACTCATACTATTGAATGCATCACTGTCAGATAATGTTTCTGAATTCTTTATGTTTCTTTCCTTGTCCTCTATTACTATTTCTCTCTGTGCACTTCAAGAAACACTTCAAAGTCATTATTTCAGTGCACTACAGCGTTACAGCGGCTTCAAGCCACTTAAAAATAAAAACAATAACTGATTTTGCACAACAAATGCACACTACATATTGCATATGTGACAACTAGAGACCATAGAAAAGACTGAGAAGCAGGGATGAGATATGACGCTGGTAACAGCTCAAAATCTTTCTTTTAATTCAAGGGCATGAGGTCCAGCACAAGCATGCATTCAGTGCAGTGATGGTAAACACAAGGATCAGTCAAAGGCATAAACTCAGGCAGAGTCAAGGTCAGAATAACTGAAGGCGAGTAGCAGAGAGGGAGCAGGAAGAGGCAGGAGTCAAAAACTAGCTGGGTCATACATGAGAGAAGATTGCGTAACACAAGGGATGGCTGGATTGTTTGACTACTGAGAGTACTAGGACAAATTGGCAAACAGGAAGATGTACTTGGAGTATACACTGTACACCTGTACAATTGTATGCACTTCAGTTCAACACTTCCACCTTAACATCAGAATTTATGAAGCTCAGAATGGTTCAGTTTTAGGTGAAATTGCCATAAATGTGTAAATACAATTATATGTTTATTATTGAGGTCATAGTTAAAGGTGGTGTTGTACTACATTATATTCAGAGGTGTCTCTATATTTTTGTCCTCCACGGCTACATACATGAGAGGGTCAAAATATTAGGAACACCTCTGAATATAATGTAGTCCAGTACAACATTTTGAGCTTTATAAGCACAGATCTTATAAGATGTAAGCCAGATGTGTTTCACTGAATTGCACAAAATTGTACAGGTGTACCTAATAAAGTGGCAGGTGAGAGTATACACACACAAATCTGAGAGAGTAATCACCTAGTGAGACACAGGTGGATAAGAGCTGATGGCATCCAAACCAAAGGTGGAGATAAATTAACAGTAAAACACACACACACAAAATCTGAACACAATAAAACTAAGTGACTCCACAGAATCCATGGTAGTTTTCACAGCATGAAATAACTAATTACAACAACCTTCTCAATTTCTTTTTCTTTCCTGCTTTAACTTTCCTCTGTCTTGTTTATTTCAGGGCTGGTGCACATTAAACAGAGTGAGAGAGTGATGGTTGGCCTGGATGGGAAGTTGTACTTTTCTAATCTTCTAAAGAGTGACAGCAGAGATGACTACATGTGCTTTGCCCAATATGCAGCAGCCAGCATGATTCTCTCTGCGACCACGGTCAGCCTCAATGTCACGCCCAGTGAGTATACACACAAACTGCAAATCCGTAAACATACATAAAGGTGTTGGGTTTATTTAAGACATTCATGGTGGTGGTAGAGCACTGTGTTAATGCCCCAGTACAAATTTTCCCAGTTGGTTTGAGAGCTGGAGCTGGAGGATATCATTTGCTTCAGGGCATACTGTACACCATTAATTTTGTTGTTTACTTCCATTCAAAGTTAGGGGACATTTTTAAAATTTGTATTGGTCAAGGGTTAGATAAAGGGTAGGTTTTACTGTAATCCTAACCCTAACACTGGATACTACATTTCAAATAGTTAAAGTCATTTGCATTTTTCATTTGGCCCCACTCCACCTGTTCTAAATGCCCAGTCCTGTCAGTCCTGCTACTGAATTAGAATGTGTTAGACTGAGAGGTCTTTCTGTTATTTTGTCCACGGTGACAGTCCACGGTGACACTATGCTAAATAAAAACACCTCTCTGGATAATGCTGTACAGTTCAACAGCAACACAAACTATTAGCCTCCAAAATGACCGTACAGTTGACTCAGTGCTTCTCTGAAACAACCACGACTGTGAGTACATTTTGCAAGGCAAATTTTGGTTTGAAAGTACCATTAGGGGTTGTTCACTTTTCGTGTCTTTTGTGTGCTCAAATTCGTTATTTTAAATGGAGACGCGTGACAAGCGTGCTCATAATAAAGAGTGGTGCCCCAACCTTTGATGCATGTCAGCATAGTAGCAAGACAAAATTATTTAAACTTTTAAGAATGCAACAAGTGCAATGCGGTTCATGTGACAAGAACCAACCAATCAGTTCCACCCTTGCATTTTAAGACTCGATAAGTAAGTGAACAGATGCATTTTTATGAATACATTGTTTTTGCTGTTTTGTTGTTACTACTAAGCACGGGTTCCTGCATAACTGTGTTTAGAAATGTGATATATAGTTATTTTAATTATTAACAACACTGTTTTCAGCTTTGTGACAACAGTTGTCAGATACTCCAGTGGGCGTTTAAATAGTTTATTTAGCTTAAGATTAGGAGAATTATCTCAGCCCATGAACATGCACTTAATTCTTCAGGTTTACTAAAATTAAACGTGTGGTTTTCACGGAATAGTACACATTTATAATTTTGCACATTTCAGTAACAGGGAAGAAAAGTCACTTAAATAAGTGATATTTAAAAAAGGAATCCATTACAGTTTAGTTTGTATTAATGTTAAGATGGTCTCTCTCTCTCTCTCCCTCTCTCAGGTAATGGTGTTCATGGTAGAAAACCCCACCTCCTCCATCCCACTGGCTCCCACACTCCAGTGCTGGCTCTTAGGGGTCATACTGTCACCCTTGAATGTATCCCCACAGGCCTGTAAGGATTTCAGTGTGTGATGCCATTTGTGTGTGTATATACATATACTGTATACTGTATATACTGTTACACCTATGCACAAACATCTCCTGAAAATGTACAATAGCTACATTGGTCTACAGTGTAAAATTAATTAATGTCACAATAATGGTTGTAAAATTGTGACATGCCAATATTTTTTGTATTGTAGTCCAGTGTCCTGCTTCATGCTCTTCTTCTTGGTATTTTATGGTGCATTACTGCCACCAACTGGACTGGAGTGTTTATCAAGAAGCTAACATTTAGTGTATGTTGAAGTGAAGCAGTTTTTAACTATAGAAAGTTAAAAACAGGTGGTGGTTGGGGCAGATGAATGGGTGCAACAAACACCTTGCTCTTGCACAGACAACCGGAGATTGTGTCCCATGTCTGACACTGTGCAACGTTTTACTTTTAATTTGAGTGTTTTAACCAAACTCTGGGAATTTCCTTAACCATAACCATGTAGTTTCTATGCCTAAACGTAACCTTTAGATTTTGCTGCCAGAAAGACATTGCCTTGTCACAATTTTCAATCCAGAAAATGTTGCAATGTTACAATTTTGGAGGTGTAATTGTGAGACTAGTACATTTTGCATTTTGCACCAACGTAGCTATTATACATTTTGTGTGAGACTGTTTGATCAAAGTCATTATGATGGGAAATAACACTTCAGAAGTCTTCACCTATATGTACAGTACCAGTCAAATGTTTGGACACACCTTTACATAATTTTTTTCCTATTTTTTTTCTAATTTTTTGATTATTACTGAAGACATTTGGTTTTCAGTTAACAGGTGTGCCTTGTCAAAAGTTGAACTGTCTGAAGTCTGAACTTTCAGATGACCCCAATGGCATTTGTCAGCCTCTCATGCTGAGCCTCTGTATATGCTGCAAAGCTGTACCAAGCTGCACCTGAGCCAGTGCAATCTTGTTTCTAAAGCACAATAAAATACACTGTATATCTTGATCACATGGGTGTGAGGCAAACTGCCAATGTAATAGAAGCAATGCATATCTTGCGGTATCAGTGTGGTGTTACGAGGATGAGCTTGCAACATGGAGCTGTTGGTGGATTATGAATAAAAAGCAAATGCTGAATGTAAGTATTTTCCATCACATTGATGTTATGACAGCACGGTTTCATGGTATTAGTGCCAACCCAGTCACTGTGATGGTGTGACATTTCAGCCAATCACATGTCTTGATGAGTCAGCTCCGCTGAAGGCAGAGCTCAGCCCCCCTCGGCCAACATAATTACCCCCGCTATTAGAACTAAATGAGAATGAGGCCAACGCAACCCTGCCCAGATCTACATGATAAAAACAGGCTGACCCACGCTAATGGAAAAAGACTACAAGTTGGATTACACATACTGAAACCATCAGTATCAACAATGTAACAACACTAATCTGCATTTGTTGCTGCAGCCTTTTTCAGTATGACAACATTTCTCAGAATAGTGATGATTCAGCATACTGTATATGTTCTGGTGGATTCAGATGCTGCAGGGATTTAATGAACTGAAGGAGAAGCTCATTTATACAATATAAAACAGCTGTAGGGATGAGTAGGTTCGTCAGGGAAGAGAATTCACAGGAGCTCACTGAGTGGGGAAGTCCAGGGAGAGGAATTGAGTGTTGCAGTCTGAGGCAGCAAGCTCTGGCAGCAGAGAGGACAGGAGATGATGAGTACAGCTGGTAGTGGCTTATGCTGACTGACCTGAGAGCAGAGGGGGAAGATGTCAGCCAGGAGAGATGAAGCAAGTGTTGCTGGAGAGCTTGGAGGGAGACGAACAGGGGTGGCGTGGCTAGGAGGCTGGAGAGACGTGAAGAGTTGCAGGGGCAGAAAGCAGTAGTAGTTTCAGGAGGGATAACAGGGAGAGCCAAAGTGTCATGGAAGTAATCCTCAACATACTGGCACTGGCGGAGCATCTGCCAGAGTCTTAAATAGGATGTTGATGATGAATCAACTAATCTCAGCTGTGCAACTCAGCCCTTCTCATAGGTTGGTGCTGCCCAACGATGGTGGCCCACCAGATGGTGATTTTGTTCCGCTGTACATGCAAGTGCAGCCTTGGTTTCTGCCCAGATGTGTTGACAGCGGCAGATGTGAGACTGGATGGAGGGTACAGCGATGTCTGTTTCTTCATCGGGTAGGAGTGGTGGCTGGTAGCCCAAGGATGCTTCAAATGGTGTAACGCCTGAAGCGGTGCTGGTGAGAGAATTGTATGAGTATTCAACCCAAGACAACAGTATGCTCCATGAATCAGGTTCATTACCTATGATGCAGTGAAGGATGTTTTTGAGATCCTGGTTCAGTCTCTCTACCTGTTCGTTTGTTTGTGGATGGAAACCTGAGGTGAGACTGGACTTGGCCCCGATGACAGAACAAAAGGAGGACCACACTTGTGAGATACACTGAGGACCTTGGTCTGAGACAATGTCTGCAAGGATTTTTGAAGTCGAAACACGTGTTGAACCAGGAGGTTAGCCGTCTCATGGGCTGATGGCAACTGAGGTAGGGTGATGAAATGGGCTGTTTTGGAGAAACGGTCGATGATGGTTAGTATAGCTGTGTTGCCTTGGGATGGAGGAAGACTAGTTACAAAGTCTACTGTGATGTGAGACAAAGGCCAACTGGGTATGGGTAGTGGGCGTAGGACACCTGCAGGGTATTGATGGGAAGATTTAGATTGGGCACAGATATGACATGCTTGCGCAAACTCACTTGTATCTTTGTCGAATGTGGGCCACCAGAAGTGCCGGTTTAGGAGCAAAATAGTTTGATGGCATCCTGGGTGGCAGGCCAATCGGGAGGAGTGGGCCCATTGTAAGACTTGGTCTCTCATAGGGGTCTGAGACAAAGAGTCTGTCTGGCAGGGCTTCCTCTGGGGCCGGTTGTTGTTGAAGGGCCTCCCGTACGGTCCCCTCTCTGTCCCAGGACACTGCAGCTATTACACAGGAGGGGGGTAATATGGTATTTGGAGTCTCCTCCATGATCGGTGGACTGAACTGCCAGGATACGGCATCAGGTTTCTTGTTTTGGGAGCCTGGGCGATAAGTGAGGGTGAACCTGAATTGGCCAAAAAACATAGCCCAGCATGAGTGCTGTGGGTTGAGGTGTTTGGCGGACTGAAGATAGGAAAGATTTTTATGGTCTGTCCAGACCAAGAAAGGTTTTCTTGGTCTGGACAGACCCTCTAGCAGATGTCGCCACTCTTCAAGTGCTATTTTACCACTAGGAGTTCCTTGTTACCCACACCATAATTCCTTTCAGCTTGTGTAAGCCATCGGGAGAAGTAGGCACATGGGTGGAATATGTGGTCCTTTTCGGCTCGCTGAGAGAGAACAGCCCCTACCCTGGTGTCTGAGGCATCAACTTCCACAATGAATTGCCTGGAGGGGTCTGGTTGAATCAACACAGGGTCTGTGGTAAACTGGTGTTTTAAGTCCCAGAAAGCCTACTCCGCCTCCTTGGTCCAAACAAACTTCATCTTGGTGGATGTTAATCGGGTAAGTGGGGCTGCTACAGAACTGTAGCCCCATATGAAGTGCCGATAGAAGTTCACAAAACCAAGGAGGCATTGCAGGTCCCTCTAGTTACCAAGTGTTGGCCACTCAGTGACTACTCTGACCTTTGCAGGGTCAGCTCAGATCTGGCTGCTCTCTATGACGAAACCCAGAAAGGTAACCATCTTTGAATGGAAGTCACACTTTTTTGTTATGTCTGTTCGGACATGGAAGTGAACGAGCAAAAGGATAGGCGGACCCAGGTAGCTGACTTCAGTGCAAGCAGTGCTATTTTATTTACAGTGTAGTGACAAAACAAGAAAACAGGCAGGCCTAGATGATGAGAGTAACCGGGTGTCGATCTGCAGCAGAGAAAACAGTCTGTGGTGAGATGGATGGGGGTAGGCTGGGCTGTGGACGCTGGGGTCACTCCTGCGCTGGTCGATGTGGACATGGTGTTAACTGAGGAGAAAAAAAGGCAGGAATTTGTACAGAATGTTACTGGTGACTGTGCATCGACCTGAATGGTGAGACTGGAATGGAAGAGAATCCAAGGTCCGGAGGAGTAGTCCGAGGAGGAAGATAACAGGAGGAGTGTGGCAACGGGGAGTCCTGCAATAGAACTGGCAGGAGCAGAGAGAAACAAACAGTCGAACACAAACAACGGTGGTAAGAGCCTGGGAACGAGATTGAACTGGCAAGTGAGTGATAGGTGAGCGGGGTATATATAGGAGTAGAACTAATAAGATGCAGCTGGTGACAATAAGGGGATGTGGAGCAGGTGTACCAGATGGTGTAATCAGGGCTGAAAAAGAGAAACAGAGTGAGGGAGGTGAGATAGGCAGGTGCAGCGGGGCAAACCTGACACTTTTCAAACTTCACACATAATCGATTCCCTAGGAGCCATAGGAGGACTTATCTGATGTGATTCTAGTGTTCTGCAAGGGAGGAGGAGTAGATGAGAATATTGTCCAGATAGACAAACACAAACCAGCCCAGGAAGTCTCTGAGGACATCGTTGATTAAGGCTTGGAACACTGTGGGGGTGTTAGTGAGGCCAAAGGGCATGACAAGGTATTCAAAGTGCCCGTGGGGTGTTTTGAATGCAGTCTTCGACTCATTACCATCCCGAATCCTCACTAGGTGATAAGCGTTTCTCAGGTCAAGCTTTGTGAAGATCCCTGGAGAGACTCAAAAGTGGAGTGAAGAAGAGGAAGTGGATATTTATTTTTAATGGTAATGTTATGGAGACCCCTGTAATCAAAGCAGGGACAGAGGCCACCATCCTTCTTCCCCACAAAGAAAAACCCCACCCCCAATGGTGGAGACGATGGATGTATAATACCTGCTTTCAGTGATGTTTGAAAGTAGTCCTCCATTGCTTGTCTCTCAGGTTTTGAGATGTTAAACAGCCTGCTGGTTGGCAAGGTGGCACCAGGGAGAAGATCAATCGCGCAGTCGTATGGTCAGTGTGAAGGTAGCAATATAGCTTGGTCCTTGTTGAACGCATCACTGAGATCATGGTAAATGGTGGGGACCTTGGATAGGTCGGGGTTCTCTTGTGTATTGCCTGTGCAGGAAGAAGTGAGGGAAGGCTGGACCACTTGAAGACATGATGACAAACAGGAAGGACTTCACCTGGTGATAGTTCTGGTTTGCCAATCAATCTGAGGGTTCTGGGTTGTTAGCCAGGAGAGCCCCGGGACGAGGGGTGTCTGAGGGAATGTTAGAATCTTAAACTGTGCAGTCTCGTGGTGATTTCCAGCTATGGTCAATTTAACAGGAGGAGTCTGGTGGGTAATGATAGCTAGCTGGTGAACGTCTATGGCATGAGTTTCAAGACTGTGGTCTCCCTTGTTCTGGTGTTAAATTCAATTTTTTTTTTACTAAAGTATGGTCAATAAGAGTATCCCCCTGCATCAGAGTCCATGAGGGCTGAGAGGGAAATGCGTGAGGGGTATGTGGGGAATGTGTGGCCAGAAACCTCCAGGGTGACTGGGATCTCTAGGCTAGTTGAACTTGTGGTGGTTGTCTTGGAGTGGCCTGCTAGTGCCCCCACTCTCACAGGTAGACCTCGTCTTTTGGATGTATCGGGCAACTACGGATCTGGTGTGACTGGTTCCCCCAGTACAGGTAAGCCCCGGTTTTGATGCGTCAAGCACACTCTTGGGGGGAGAGACGCTGAACTGCATCGGTTATTGTTCTGATGATGAAGCCCCCCCAGAATCCTTTTGAGGATATGAACGGGTTTTGAGATGGACTGGGCTGCTTGATTTTATACTGAGAGGGTTTGGTGTGTGGCGTTCTCTGCTCTTTTTCTCCGACTCTCTCGTATTCTATTATCAATCCTGGTAGCCAGGTCTGCTAGTGAATTGAAATCCGGGGGTTTGTCTCTTGTTGCTAATTCATCTTTGATGTACTCCTGCAACATATGCCAAAAAGTGCCATGCAGGGCCTAATCATTCCACCCAGCTTCTGTAGCCATCACCCTAAACTCAATAGTGTACTGCACGACCCCTAACGTATTGACATGAGCTGTCTGGTTGCGCTGCCCTGATGATCGGTATGATCGAAAGTGGTTTGTAAGTCATGAAAAAACTCATCAATGGTAGCCCCGATGAATCTCCCCTGGGAGTCAGCTGCTTCAGCCCAAGTCAATACTCTCTCTCGGAGTCTGTTTATAACAAAGTTGATTTTAGTATGATCAGAGTGGAAGGCACAGGGCTGTTTGTCGAACACATGGCGACATTGTAACATAAAGCCCTGACACCTTTCCACTTCTCCATGAAAAGGGTTCGGGGTCTGGCATGGGGGGTTCTCAGGTCGGGCTAGTGTGCCGAACGTGAGATGAGTGTTGAACGAATGTAGGGGGAGGCATCATGGCTGCAGTGAGCTGAGAGAGTGTTAGACAGCTGAGTTACCTGCTGGGTGAGGTTCATAATGATCTCCATTTGCTGGTGGAGGGCCTGTCTGAGGTGGTCGATTTGGGCACCATATCTTGCAAAGGAGGATGGGTTGGTGCGGTTGTCAGAACCGGAGCCTGCAGAGTCCATTGTGGCCAGTACATTTTGTTATGATCAAGCCATAGTCTCAGCTGTGTAACTCAGCACAGCTGTGTGCCACACCCAGGACAGAGAGCCTGCAGAGAGGAGAGAGGGAGAGAGAAAGAACAAGGAGGAGAGGCAGGTGGCACAAAGCAAACCTGACAGATACTTTAAAGATCAAGCAAATTTATTTATAGATGAGTGCAGACTCGTTGACAGATGTGTATACTTTCTGACAGTGAGATCGTGTTAAACTTAGTCTATTTAAAATTTTAACATTATTACACTAGTGTTGTGCATTTGCAAGTACTGTATGCAAAAGTTCTAAACAGTGTAATAGGGAGTACACGTGGCACAAGTGCCATTTACAGTTATGTCCATCACCATTAGTCTCTGCATGTTAAGGTATGGTGTAATCTCAGAAGCCAGGTCACATCTCCCTTTTGAATATTCATTGTTGATTTTGGAAATAGTAGTTTGATATTACAGTTTTTTTAGTAGCCCTGGCTACTTCTTGAAACATCACTATCATTCTCTATCATTCTGTCTTAATATGCATTTGTCAGATCTGTTTATACAAACAGCACAACACACTAGTTCTTCAGCAGAAGAATATCCCTCACCCAAAACCTTTAGCTCATGGTTCAACACTAAATCCTTAAGTCACTGAATAAGTAAACCCCATAAAAGGTGTCACAATGTTTAGCTGTTTTGTCAGTATGGCAATGGAGCACTTCCATTTGAAGTAAAGTAATGATTCAAAAAAGTACTGTCTAAGACAGATATGCAACAGATATATATGGCATAGCAAGACAAAATCACAGACTACAAAATGAAAGTGCTACTGTACATCAAGGAATTGAGTCACAGAGCCTGATGTGGCTCCTGTCAGTCTGGCCACAGATTTTCATCTACCCCACACCTGATATTCCCCCTGACAATACAGCAGGAGAAGAATCATCTGGAGTGTTGTATGCATCCCCTGCAGGCTTCTGCTGTGATGTCATCACATGCAGCATTCATGACATCAGGCAGTGCCATTTGATCTGTAATAGTCTAGGATTATAGATCATCCATGCAAATTTTTTTTCAGTTGGATTTAGTAATGGACATTATGGTGGTAGAAACTTTCTTAACATCCTTAGCTGATGTGGAACACTCCCCAGAAGTGAAGTTTAAGTTTCACCTGGCTGCCAGTTTAAGAATTTAGCTAAATCTACAGTGTATACAGTATACACGGTTTTGGAAAATGTTCACAAATGATCTGATAATTCTACTGTCTCTAGGAGGTTTGTCTCCATGGCCTGTCATTGTGTCATATTGTCATTTAATTGTTCCTTATTGATGAACATCATTAGCAGTACATCATTAACATGATCATCTATTTAGTTCTATTGCCACTTCTCATTGTGATCTTTCGGTTTCTGTCTTTCTGTTCTCTTTGTTTTTCTTTTCAATATTTTGTCTGCCTCTGCAGACCAACTCCAAAGGTGGAATGGAAAAAGAAAGATGGCAGGCTGGACGAAACAACTGGGGATTTGGATATTTATAAGCACTGGCTTCGCTTTGACAGCATCTCCGAGAATGATGACGGAGAGTATGAGTGTAGGGCTTCGAACAGCCATGGGTTTGTCACCCACTCCTTTACTGTCACTGTGGAAGGTATGTTGCAGAGCACACAGTGGCATACATTACACAACAGGACACACCACTGAATGTTATCAGGTATCTGCTGTGTTAGTTTTGAAACTTTCTGTGCTTGATGGCAGAGAACACAAAGAGGATGCAGTTCTTTCAAAGGGTCTTTTATTGGCAGATAAGCAGTTAACTAACCTTATTTGAATATGGCAAAATTAAAGCCAGTAAACATTTGACTGCAAAGAATATCTCATCACAAGAAACAACAAATGTTAAGAAAGATATAATCTTTTTGCAAACAGCGATTTGAATGGAATTCTCCAGTAACTGAGTGTTACAGTTTTGATAAGTTGGAGGATTCACAAGAGACAATATTTAAAAATGGTCAAAATTAAGGCCAAGATTTCTTGACTTTCTGTCTCCAAAACACTGTGTCCTGCAATTCCTCTAATGCAACTCAGTAACATTTAATTAAACTTTTCCCAAATGCCAATGTCTTTCAAACTACATTCCCCAAGTTTGTAACACAGGGTAGAATTTTTATTGATCCCACACAGGCTTTTTATTACAGATTTATAGGCAATTCTCAATGACAGCAGTAAGTTGCAGTTGTATTTTGATTGTAGCGGCTCCCTACTGGGTAAAGGAGCCTCAGAGCTTGATGTATGCTCCGGGAGAAACTGTGCGATTGGACTGTCAGGCTGAAGGCAACCCGACCCCAACCATCACCTGGAGCATCAATGGTCAGCCGATCACAGGTACATTAACTTTGAATGTTTTCTCAATCCTGTGGTTTTGTTGATTTTGTTCTAGAGTGTGTTAAAAAAACCAAAGTGTAACTTAGTGTATTATTTTTGATTTTATTCCTGAAGAAGAAAAGGTTCCATCTGAATAAAACTCAGTACTTGCTGAACCTAATACTATACCAATAAATTATTTATTGCTTATAATGTACATGTAAAAAAAAGTTTTTTTTCCCTGCAGAACCCTTATCTGCAAATTACTTAAGCTTGTCCATAAGTACTTATGTACTTAAATGCCCCTTTTAGCTTTGATGCTTAATTTGGCCTACATTTTGTATTTCCATGTCCAATAATGAGCACTTTTAATCAGCTTTTCCTCTGGTTCACTCTATGGTTACATTACACAAAGCTTGATGACCACAGATCGATTTTAGAAAAGAGGAGCAATAATTTTCTGGCTCCACAGAGCCTCTTAAATGCACATGAATTTGGAAAGATGCTGGTGTTATGATATGCTTAGCTAATATTCTTGAATGACTCATAAAGAAGACAGGGAGAAAGAAAAAGAGGGAGAGAGAGGAAGGAAAGAAAGGAAGGAAAGAAAGAAAGATAGAAGAATCCAGGTTAAAAATGAACTCCTAAGAACCACAGCTGATAAAATAAGAAATGAAACAGTGAGGAAAGATACAAAAGAGGTCAGGCCAGTAACAGCTGCTCTCTCATTCACTGGAGGACATCTTGGTTAAACATTTCTATGTGTTCAGTTTCTGTTTGACAAACTAACAACCTCATCCCCTCCTCCATGCCTCCTGTCATTCTTTCTCACCATTCTTCTCCTCCACTGTGTAGCGGTGGCTCATGATCCTCGTCGGGATGTATTAGGTGGTGTGTTGAAACTGAGGGATGTCGTATTTGCTGACACCGCTGTGTATCAGTGTGAAGCCACCAACAAACACGGTTCCATCCTCCTCAACACCTACCTCTTTGTTGTTGGTATGTGTATGTGTAAGGTTCAATGCCTGGCTCACATTCCTCTCAGCCTGTTCAAAATGTTTGGTACTTTGATATACTACTCTAGCATGTACTTGATAAATAAAGATTTTTTTCCCTGTCCTCTGTGCCTCTCAGAGCTCCCTCCTCAGATTCTTTCCTCTAATGGAATAGTATATAGAGTCATCGAGGGTGGAGACGTCAGGCTACACTGTGAATCCTTTGGCTCTCCACGACCACACATTAGATGGTGAGACACACACGCACAGTATTTGAAACAATTTACCTTTCACCCCCCTTTTTGTGTCTGAAATATGATGTCCGAAATAAAATGGTTAGTAATTGTTTACCCCGAGGACTACAATCATGTCTGCAGTCTCTTTTCAAAATTCAATTCAAATTTATTTGTATAGCGCCAAATCACAACAAAAGTCATCTCAGGACACCATACAAAGTAAGATCTACGCCTTACTATTATCACTATTATTATAGAGGAAAACCTAACAAATCCTCCTTGAGCAAGCACTTGGCGACAGCGGGGAGGAAAAACTCCCTTTAACAGAAGAAACCTCCGAAAGACCCCGGCTCTTGGTGGGCAGCCTTCTGCCTTGACCGGTTGGTGTGAGTGGATAGAGGAGAGAGAAAAGAAAAGAAAAGCAACAAGACACAAAAAACAATCAAGTAATGGGCAGCTTGATGTGGCTGGTGACTGCTCATCAGAAACATAGAGCTCCAGAGTCAGGGCTGCCTGCAGAAAGGTACAGAGAGAGAAAGGACACACTACAGGTGAGAGGAGACACACAGTTATTGATGCATAATGGTGGCATATAGATGCATGGAGAGGAGAGAAGAGGACAGGAGACGGAGGAGGGAAACTCAGGGCATCATGGGGCCCCCAGCAGCCTAGGCCTATAGCAGCATAACTCAGGGAAGGCTACCTATAAGCTTTATCAGACCTTTACTATCAGACATTCAAAATTAGCATAAGTCATATTAAATCAAGCATACAAAGGCACAAACCTTTACATTTATCCTTGACTAATCTTTTATTTGTTTTTTTATTGGAAATGTATGAGTGCAGGTTTGCCTGGTGAACCTAGAAAGATAGTGGAGTGAAAACCACAAGGGTGGACAAATCCAGGTCAGAATTTGGTGAGGAAAGCATTAAAACAGGATTTTCAGTTGTTCTATCTAGAAGATGTCCAGGTGGACATCATTTGGAGACATTTGAAAACTCTAGTAACCAAATTATTTTATGTGATCCCAGTTGCTTGGGAAGTGCTGGGGGGGTGGTGTTAGGTTATTTTTTAGTTAGATAGATATTCAGAGATTTGTTGTCTAGGAATGTTTAGTGCAGACAGGGTGACTAGCTTAGGCTGTTAACTGTTCAGCCTGCAGTGCAGACTGCAGGCACGTCAAGGTTACAGGAAAACTGCTGTTAGTGTCAACTGTAATGCTAGTCTTAATATTTGTCTTAATGTGTAAGGTTATGTCCAATTGTTTTAGATACACACCACGAAAACAACAGTCACGCACCTTGACTTTTCCTCATGTTTTGGCTAAACGTTATAGCAGCTGCAAGGCTTGCTTATCGGGTGACGTCACGGTTCGACAGCCCAGAAAGGATTAATATTGTATAGCAATGCTTGGTTCGGGGTCTTTTTCTGCTTCCGGGCTGCTTTTGGCAGGCTGGGGGTTGGAAGATCTCTGGACTGGAAGTGTGAATTCTTGCCTGTGACTCTTTGAATAAACCAGCACGGTTATATTTTTTATATACTCAAGTGGTCTGAGTCGTCCCTCGGAGTTCCTGGTTTGAAAGAACCGGACGAGGCTTTATAATGGAATGTAGCCTTTAGTGGCTAGGTTGGATTGACCTACATCTAGGAGACCCTGCACCAGCTACATGGGCTGGCTAGCTAAGCTGTTTTCCATGGTGTGAAGCTGTGATTCCAATGCGGCTAACATCTGACATTTATTACAAGTACCATTATTGCTGAAGGAGGCAGAGGAATAACTAACCATGCGACACTCCGAGCAAGAGAGAGAAGGAGAGGAAGAAGGAGAAACCAACTAAGCTACTCTCTTAGCTAGCTTCTAAACTACAGTAGCTGACCTAAAGAAGCAAGTTAAATTTGGAAATTAGCAAGAAATTCTGTAACATAGGTGCTTAAGTAGTGCAGGTGTATGCTGTAACTCAAAAAATTAGCTGCTATCCAGTTAACCTAAGAAGTAACCTAGAAATTAGTGAGCTTAATTCATAAACAATCTGGTAGGAAGCACAACATGGTGCAGGCACAGTAAATAGCAAGTGAATATGATTACCACAGGAACAGGAAACAGCAGGGGTAGTTGCACAAGGGTTATAAAAGTTAACCACTCTTAAACACTCATCACCTATCCAAAAATTTACACTTATCAATTCATATTCAATATTACTATCAACAACACTAAAATTCAAACCTTTTTTGATAAACATAGCTACCCCACCATCATTACCTGAACTCCTACCAATTTGAACTATTACATACCCTGGAATGACATAGTCCCACTGTTTCCTCAGCCTTCCTCCTGAATGCACAGTTATCTGTGGCTGATACTTTAAATCTAATATACAGTGGGTACGGAAAGTATTCAGACCCCTTTAAATTTTTCACTCTTTGTTATATTGCAGCCATATGCTAAAATCATTTAAGTTCATTTTTTCCTCATTAATGTACACACAGCACCCCATATTGACAGAAAAACACAGAATTTTTGACGTTTTTGCAGATTTATTAAAAAAGAAAAACTGAAATATCACAGGGTCATAAGTATTCAG